CCCTTCCAACCCAAACCAGTCTGTGATTCAAAATTCAGTTGGTTGGTGGGCACATGGCTTTGGGGAAGCACCTGGCAGGATGTGCAGGGAGGACATGGGGAGTTCTCTGGAGCCCTCCTAAAGGAACCTGCCCACTAACAAAGCATACACTGATCCCTCCTTCTTACTGCTTCTCCATCCAGGTCCTGACAGTTCTGTGCAATATAGCGGAGAAGGGGCCAGCCTACTGCCAGCAGCTGCACTGGCAGCCTGCCCTGCCCCTGCTGCTGCCCACCCTCACACTGCCGGACCCTGAAGTGGTGGGGCAGTGCCTCGAGCTGCTGCACCTCCTCTTCCTGCACTGGCCAGAGGTAAGAGCAGAGGGTGCCTGCCTCAGAATCAAGCATGAGATTGTAAAGCTGGGGATGAGGATTATTATTTAAATAATACTGCCTCCAGTCATTGCCACGCTCACCCCCCACTCCTCAGCACCCAGACATGCGCCTGAACAGGGGCACTTGTGTGACACAGAAGGTGGAAGCCCTTCCTGTGTCCCTGGGGAGCTCCTTTTCATTGACAGTGACTGTTTTTTGGGCAAGTTGTTTCTACCCTTTGAGGTTATTATGGGATGATTCTTTTAATTCTGTTGCGCTTACTTCAAGCTGTGCGTGTTCCCAGCCAGCGACCAGCGTGGCTGGATTTACCTGGATTGGGACTTTCCTGAAAGGGTTCTTGGGCATTGGAAGGGGTCGCCCAGGGCAGTGGTGGAGTCCCCATCCCTGGAGGGATTGAAGAGTCGTGTAGACATAGTGCTGAGGGACATGGGTTAGTCGGGGACTTGTCAGTATTGGGTTAATGATGATCTGAAAGGGATTTTCCCATCAAAGCAATTCTGGGATTTAGCACCTGGTGGGGCTCTGGGGAATTCCATCATCCCCGTTCCCTGGGCTGTGCACTGGTGGTTCTCAGCAGCCAGACAGCTCTCACTCCTCTCCTCTTGCACAGGCTGCTGCTGACTTCACCAGGCAAGGCGGGCAGCAGGCCCTTGAGCAGCTCCAGAGCACTCCAGAACTCCAGGATCGGGCACGAGCACTGCTGGACATGATCAGGCAGCCCCTGGGACCTTCCACCTTCAGTCCCTGCCATGCCACCTTGTCTGCCTTCTCCTAGGCCATGCCACCTCCCTTCCCTTCCCCTGCACTCCAAGGAGGAGCAAACCATTTGTTCATCCCATGCCCTGCTTTCCCAAGGGCTGCGCGGGGGTCTGTAAGCACCAGTGCTGGCTGCACAGGGACACCGGCCCTTGGCCAGATACAGCTGTTCCCATCCTTGCAGTCACCTTGTAGCTACCGTCCGGCTGCCCTGTGCCTCCCCAGCTTGGAGCAGGGGCAGAGCTGAGCCGCAGCCTGGGCAGACAGGCTCATGATGCCAGGGAGATGGTGTATAAACCCTGCTGGGTCGGCCGTTCCCTCCGGCAGCTCCTTTGGGCTTTAAACCCAACACGTGAAGCTCAGGGTAACCAGGTTGTGTTTATGCGATTGATAAGTTAAAGACACATGTTTTACATTAAAGATCATCAGTCAGGTCTTCAGCACATGCATGTTTACTGGCTGTCTTCACACCTTGCTTTTCACAATGTTCTCCAAGGCCTTGGCCACTTCATCCACGGTAAGGTTGTTCAGCGGCACGCTTTTCTCCTTACCAAACTCTGCAGGAAAGACAGAGGATGAGAGAGGAGGCAGGTGCCTTGGTCCTTTTCTGTTGCAAGGGCATCCCAAAGCCCTGCTTGAGGTTTCCCAAGTGCCACTGGTACCACAGCCCAGGCTCCCATCACAACCCTTTCGCACCCACCACTCCCCAGTTTACCTCCCTGTGCCCAAATTATCATTACCACCTTCTTTTTGTTCTCAGCCTTTCCCTTGGAGAGAAGCCAATGCAGCCTAAGACATTTCCTTGCCTCTTTTTGTTAACTTCTACTGTGCAGCAGCTGAGCAGAGACCACCACCCCATCCCAAAGCAGCCTGGTGGCTTTCAGCTACTGAGAACACAGTGAAAACAAAGAAAAACCAAACTTTTTTCTGTATAGGAATCCTAGAGGGGTGGGAGATCACAGCCACAAGCTGACAAACCACCTTCTGAGCTACAGGTCCCTTTTTTGCCTCCCACCAGGTGATGCAGCAGTAACACACTTCTCTGAAGCCCCACCTTGCCCAGTGGACAAGTGCTCCCTCACCACCAATGTCCCTTCCTGCAATGGCTGAATGCCCCTCTGCTGCGGACCATAGGGCTCTGCCGCTCGCTTCTGGCTGTCCCTTGGTGGTGGTTCCCGGCAGGCACCCCCGCACTTACCGTACCGAGCCCAGAGCTTGGGCTGGACACCAGAGCACTCGCGGATCAGGATGGGGAAATCTGGGTTTGCCTTCTTCAGGGTCACGTAGTGCTGCTCAATGAAGTCTCTAAGGGAGTGTGGTGGTTTTATTGGGCCAGCACTGGCTGCAGCCAAACACAGCCGCTCGCTCACTCTCACCCCCCCCACCAGGGGATAGGGGAGAGAACTGGGGGGCAAGGGTAAAGGAGGCTCATAGGCTGAGGTAAGGGCAATTCAGTAATTGAAATAAAATAAAACTTAAAATAACACTGACATTAAAATAGCAATGATAATAATAATAATAGAATATGC